AGCGTCTGTAAGGTTTAGAATTGAGCTCCAGACACTAGCTTCCTTCTGAAGCAGGTAAGAAGTTGCGGTCACAGCACGACGACCTCGACGACCGCATCGCAGGAACGCGAATAGAATAAATCGCGAAGAAGTGGCTGATCAATGCAGAACAAGTGTGTGGTTCTAGCAGGGCTGAGGGTTAGAGGGAGGCTTTTCGGAAACGCATTATTTCAGGCTGGCTTCCCCATGCAGGATACATTCTGAACCTTATCCGAAAATACTCATCGAAGGCAAGCGCGAAAATGATGATGACATGACGACAAGACTTATGATCAGCAATAATTCATGTGGTGATGGCGACGAAAGTTGTGACTGTGCTCGTGGGAGCAGCGAACCCGATGACGCTTGCTACTGCTATTGCCAACATGTGGAAAACCTCTGACAGCACGGATAGGGCCCAGCAATTAAGATCATAAATACCAGCCGCTGTAGGTATATATCGCCAATGCATGCATCGCCGCAAGCACTGACGGATCCAAAAAGCAGGTCACTCATGAAACTCGAAACTCTGAAACCGTGCACCCTCACAGTTGCGGCCCTGTGTCTCCGGCATGTGGTCCGGCTCCTCATCCTGAAAATAGATCTGAAACAGGTCGATGGTGTTGTTCCTGAGTTCTGCACAGAAACTCTTGCATGGTCGCGGAGGGCTCCTAAACCAAACACACCCAGGACGCAAAGAAGTTTGCTGAACCTCAGCCGCTAGAGACGCTGGGGCCTAAGGGAGCCCCAACCACAGCTTTGGAGTGTATCTCTCGCTCTCACTCTCTGATTCTCGATTCTCCGACGCATGTCCAGGGGCGCCAAAGCGCTAAACCCTGCATCATGAAATGCAATATTAACATACATAAAATTGTGTGTACATACACATATGCATATATGTGTATACATACATACAAACAGCTTCAGCCAAGTAGCATCTCTAGGCATGGTACAGTTTGCTTCGTGAGCTGCCTCACGGCGCTGATGTAAGCCGGGTCCTGACACTAATTGGGGGTTTCCGAAAATAGGGGACCCTGATATAGCACCCTAAATAGTAGGATCCTTATTATAAGGACCCCCCCATAGTAAGGTACCCCTTATTTTCGGAAACTCCCAATTCGATGTTCTGTCGCCTGTTTAAGGCTCCTCATTGTTTAAGGGCTTACTGCCTGGACCTCTTGATGTGCTGGGAATGCCAGCGTCTTCATTGGCCTCCGACTTCTGCGTTGACTGCATGTTCTAACATTCAGTGAAGTTGAAAAAAGAATGTTCGTGCATCACTACTTTAACTTTTGTAAGGCTGTCAAATCCTGTTCTTCTTCATGTTGTTGCACCCTCTGGTTTCAAAGCGTCTTCAAATCTGATGTTTCCGTGGTCTACTGCTCTTACAATGATAACAGACGGATGTTTATCTTTTGACCACCCAGGTCCTTCTCCAGCCGCTTGCGGTACTTCAAGGTATCCTGCGCCTCGCTATAGTCAATCTCCTTTGGCCAGCCACCTTCCACGTGCCTGGTGCTCGTTGGGTCGCGAAACTACGTTTCATCTTCAAGCTTTGAGCGACTTAAGAGTGCTGTTGACCAAATCTCTCCCTGCTTCCGTTCTGGCAGAAGAAAACCACAACTACGGCCATTTGATGTTTGTTAATGCTACCGTCACTGCCTTATGTCTGCCTTGTTGCCGCGACGACTCTAATGAACAATTTTTGCAGTGCCTGCCATGCTGCAATCCGTCACAGGGACGGAACACTCGTCGCCGCCGTCGTCGTGGTCGTAGTAGAAGTAGGCGTAGCACGAGTCGTAGTAGTAGCAGTAGTAGTAGCAGCAGAAGCAGCAGCAGCATCACTAGGAGTAGTCGTCGTCGTCGTCGCGGTGGTGGTGGTAGTAGTAGTAGTAGTAGTAGTAGTAGTAGTAGTAGTTTGTCACCCACTTGGCAGTAGTAGTAGTAGTAGTAGTAGTAGTAGTAGTAGTAGTGGTAGAAGTTGTCGTAGTAGTAGTAATAGTAGTAGTAGTAGTAGTAGTAGTAGTAGTGGTAGTAGTGGTAGTAGTGGTAGTAGTGGTAGTAGTGGTAGTAGTGGTAGTAGTGGTAGAAGNNTGCCCAGCCCCGGATGGAGCAAGTGTAGTTGGTAGGGGGGGGGGGGTGGCTAGTAGTAGTAGTGGTAGTGGTAGTAGTGGTAGTAGTGGTAGTAGTGGTAGTAGTGGTAGTAGTGGTAGTAATGGTAGTAGTGGTAGTAGTGGTAGTAGTGGTAGTAGTGGTAGGGGTAGGCGTGGGAGTAGGAGGAGGAGGAGGTGGGGCAGGAGCAGCAGCCGGAGCAGTCGTCGTCGTCGTGTTGGTTGTAGCCCGCATTCTGGCAAGTTGACTTCCTACGTTTCCTTGGACTGTTGGGTTTCGTGGTTCAGGCTCGGGGCTTAGTCTTGACCCCCGAGCTCCAAGTGCCAGAAGTTTCAAGCTTCAGTCAGTGCTGCCGAATTCTTGCATTCACAGCGATTGACACGCACTCAAACCGCCAAACCTGAAACTACACCGAGGCTCTGAACCCCTAAACCCTGCGTTTCGCAATCCGCTCAAGACATGTCCAACCTCGCTAGTTCTTGTCCTGAGATAGTATGGAATCAGTTCCACGCGTGGCCGTTTTCGTCGTCGGTATTGAAAACATCAAAAAACGGAAGACTTCTGGCGCAGGCAACATCCAGTACTCAGATCAACTCTCCAAAGTCCACTTCGGAAGGCAAGGTTGAAAGGGTCCTTCGCCTGTTGTCACGGCTCAAACAAACCCAATCTGCGGCCAATCGACGTCATCACCCTCGCAAAGGTCTTGACACGGGCCGTGTTCACAGAGTGCTCCGAGAATTCCGGAATGTTGTGAAAGACCTGGGGTGGTCATGAGAAAAGGGCGATCTGAAAAGAACCCCCTAAACACAACTGCCTTAGCTTGTTTCCAAAACAGGTTTTGCTTCCAATGGCTTAGCTCGCCGTTGCGTGACTGTTGAACCCCTCAAACGGCCCCAAAGCCTCGATGGTTCGGTCAAAAAGGACGCGGCCGGGGAATGTAATATCCTCGCGTTCGAGACTGATGCAGGATCTGCCTGTTGGCAGCAGCCGCAGCTGCAGCAGCTGGAGCAGTAGCAGGAGCTGCGCCAGCAGTGCCCGCAGCGGAGCAGCAGCAAGTAGTCACAAGTGCGCCAAGAAGCCAACTAGACTGAAGACAGGTTTCCTTTCGAGCCATGAAGTCCATATCGCTAACCCTGAACCCCAGGACACTGGCTTAGCCTAGGGCTAGTGGTTGTCATAGTGTGGAAGTGTGACTACTGCTTGTATTAATACTAGCACCTAGTAGTGGCACAAGCACGCGGTACCGCAACTCCACTGGAGCCCGGGCCCTGAAGCAAAACTCCCCAATTCTCATCAAAAGGCCGCATTGATAATGGTCTGCTCTACGTACATGTCGCCGCATTGCGGCTGCTGGTCCACCTGCCCCAGGATCTTTGCCTCGCCAAAGAAGTTTGGTGCTAAATTTCCAACAGTGCTAATTATGATTAGAATGCTTCTTTTACACCACTGACAGAAAGCCTCTAAGACCAGAAACGAGACTGAAGCTCCGAACTCTGAACCCTACCCCAAACGCGAGACCCAACTCCTGAAGCCAGCCTCGACAGTGTCGAAATTGCAATACCGGCCAAAGTCCTTCCGCTTCTTCATATAAATGTACCTTGCGCTCCATGGGACTTCAACGAAAGGCCCCGCCTCAACAACTCTGTGGTTGCTTTAAAGCCTTCCGCACTTCCGGATGACCTCTCAGAAAACATCTTAAAGCCTCAACCCTGAACCCTGTCCATCAAATGCAGCGCAAAAGCATGCAAGACAGTGTCTTGATGGGGGACGGTTCCAACCGTTCCAAGGGTTCCAAGGGTTCCAAGGCTCTCTACTAAAAAAACCCTAAACCCTAAACCCTAAACCCTAAACCCTATAAACCCTATAAACCCTATAAACCCTAAACCCTAAACCCTAAACTTGGGGAGCGCTAAACGGTACACTGCTCGGGGAATCCTTTGCACGTGCAATCAGGAATGTTCAGGCCTCCATTTCAAGCAACCAGCCTGTTAGGTTCACGTGGAGTCGGGGAATTCTGAAAAGGGACAATGCCCCTCAAGCCTCACAGTTCTGTGCTCTTGTCTCGTCCAAGCACCGAGAAGGTGAAGCCAAATCTCTATTATCTAGTTCTGCATCCCCTGCAATCTGACTTTGATCACCGGTGACCGACCATTTCGTACCACAAACCTGGCCAAGATGCTCATACTCGTTCATGGCTGTCTAGCTGAAAATCAGCTTCTAAATTCTAGCAAGACCTGTGCCCAGTCTTTCCTGGGTCTTTTGGTGGCTGAGGCATGAAAGACCAGAGCGGCTGACGAAAAGCGCTGCACGCTCGCTAGCCTTCGTAGATCATTGTTGAAACGGGCCACGACAAAAACAGCATGTGCAACAACAACAACAACTACTACTACTACTACTACTACCACCACCACCACACCACCACCACCACCACGACTACTACTACTGCTGCCACTACGACCACGACTACGACGACGACGGCTTAGGGATGCCTGCGAGCTCGTTGAGGAGGATACCTAGGACCGGGCTCCTGAAGGAGCCTCCCGGAGAAACATGTGGGAGTTTCCGAAAACAAGGGGTACCTTATTTTGGGCTCCTTATAATAAGGATCCTACTATTTAGGGTACTATAGTAGGGTCCCCTATTTTCGGAAACCCCCATGTTGGTAACCATGCTACTTGGGCATTCACACTGCAACTCGGAGCAAGCGCTGCTGAAAACTGTATTCATGGAACTTCAATGAGACAATAGATATCCTGAACACGAAGGATGTCATCTTCAGCTAGCTCTGTCAGCAAGTCCTGAGGCCTCGAGCTAATCTGAAACTCAAGTTTGCTTCGCTCTCTGCTGCTTCCATCCCTTGAGGCTCAGGCTGGCAAGCCCTTTCTCCAGAATCCTCGTGGATTTGCAAGAGCTTCTTGAACACAGACGGTTTCGGGTTTAGGGTTTAGGGTTTAGGGTAATACATTAGCTAACCCCACGCCGAACGTCCAAAAGAAGACCGATTATTGAATCCAAGGCTCCCTCAAAGCACAAACGTCACAACACCTCCCTGGTTCGAAGACCTGAGAAGTCTGCCAGCGCAAACCCTGAAACCCTACAACCTCAGCTCCAATAAAACTCCAAGTAAGTACGGTTTTCTGCGAAATACTGATAAGTAAGGTTAACGAACATAATGCGCAGAGAAAAGTGAACAACAAAATGACAATGACCATAAAACTCATAATGAACATGTTTAATAAATCATATTCATGAGAATGGTGATACCCAGAATCATGACAATATTTATAACAATAATAATCACAAACAAAACAATAATGACCATATCAACTAATCATAATGGTAATACTAACAATAATGAGAATACTTAAGATACAAATAACAATGCTTGTAACAAAAACAATAACAATAACGGCAGTAATGGTAATAGTTGCAACCACTGGAATAAAGATAGTAAGGTTACCGGTAAAGAATCATCGCAATAAGCAGAGCAATGGGCATAATAATGCATGAATGCTGGAATGAATGAACGAATGACAGAACGAACGAAGGAAGGATGGAGTTCCAAACCTTTGTGGAATAAGGTGGTTGTGTCGGGCTCTGTTTCGGGTTTTGTAGAGGTTTAAGGTTCCAGACGCAGTCTCGGTAACACCCTACACCCTAAACTCCGTCCCTGAGAAGTGTGCTTGAAGGTTTCGAAGGTTCTCGAGAGCTGGGCCTCCGAAGCACGACCCAAAGGACACCGGCGCTGGGGTTTAGGGGACAGTATTCTTGGCTCCCGTATGGCCACAACCGAGATCACTGCATGGCAGGTTCCTACGCCTGTTCGCAGACAGGGGACAGTATAGTAGAAGCCCAAAAGTTTGCAAAACCAAAGGCCTGAATCCTTAAGAGCAATGTCTAGGGAATCCTAGCACTCTTTGTCCTCAATCCGGTTTCCAACTCTTGGGGTTTACTATAAAACCCTAAACCCTAGACCCTAAAACCCTAAACCCTGAACCCTAAAACCCCCAAAACCCTAAACCCTGAACTCTAAAACTATAAACCCTGAACCCTAAACCCTAAAACCCTAAACCCTAAAACCCTACTATAGAGGAACCCGAAGTTCGGAGTTCGCTTTGCAGGTTTGGCACTCTTCGGTCTACAAAGGGATGAAGGCTCCTAGGCATTTTTGTTTTATTTTTGGGGGCTCCGAACATAGGAGTTCCTGGCTGCACCAGAGATTTCTGCAGACTTCCCCTTAGGGCTGATAGGGCTTAGGGTCTGTATTATTAGGGCTCCCCTTAGGGATTATGTATTATTAGGGCTCCCCTTAGGGATTATAGGGTTTAGGGTCATTATTATTTGGGCTCTTCATATGGATCCGAATGTTTTGGGAATGTCGGACCTGGGTTATCAAGCACTCCTCTGCCCGCGGCGTTGACCCCCGCACTACTCAGTGGAAGTGCCCTCCGCGTCCTCGACGCCTTGTTGGCCAGCGCGACCGCGCTTTCGGCGGAGACTCGGTTGGCCTCCGTGCGTATTTTTGAGATCGTGGGACATTTCCAGGTAGGGCTGTCGACAGGCGCATCCGGAAACTGGGGAAATGGGTTTGGCGACAGGGCACAGATACTATTTGATCATCTACTTGCCGAAAAATTTCCGTCGCCCGGATTCTTACGTGGTGCAGAAAGCTGACGGATCTCGCTTTGTCTGAATTTCTGGGTCTGGTGCAAGGCTCTCGGCTTCGTTCGACCGTTTGCAGGGTGCGCCGATTCTCAAATCAGTTGCCTCAGACTCCACAAATCAGCAATTGCATGGCAAGTGCCGGTACAGGGGCGCTATATGCTGCAATCCCATGTTGTACTAGAGGCCCGAACCCGACAGGAAGTCATCTGATATCTGACTGTTGAGAAGCACTTCTGACATGCTGCACTGCCGAAACTCATCATGTCAAGGTGGCGTAGCCACGGTGCTACGGCTATGCATGATTTGTTCCCTGCACAGACTGCTACAATGAACAGATGTGGTGCACCCTTTTGAAGATGTCCGGTGCCGCAGGAACGCTCAGAACCACGTGATGGTCTGTGCACAACTTGCAGCTGCCACGCCCCATGGTCGTCGGCGTGGCAACGCATTTCTCGGTAGAAATATTCCATGCACTCCTCCCGGGTAAACATGCGCTCCTTGTGGGCATAGGTGTAGATCAGCTCCTCCAGTGTGTATCGCTTGCCATCCTCCGTACAGAGCCTCACTTCGTCTTGATTTCTTGCCAGCTCTTGGTCATCAGATTCGAGCCCCAGCGACCCACCAGCTGCTGCCAGAACTTCGGCGACCTGCTTGTGGACGGCAGAAGCAGGGGCACTCACGTGCGAGATGGCATGCGAATGTGCAAGCCATCGGGCTGTCTGCCCAGCATTGGTCCGGGCATCTACCTCACAGCGTCGGGCCAGAAGCAGCTCTACCACCTCCAGGAAGCCGTAGTAGCTCGCAAGGTGGAGAGGCCTCCAACCTAGCAGATCCGACTGCTCTGGTGAAGCTCGCTGAGCCAGCAAGCTGCATACCAGCTCCTCTGTACCCTTCTGGCACGCGAACCAGAGAGGCCCACGGCCACAAGAATCCAGCGAATCCACAGCGACAGCCTCCGTTGGGTCTAACGCTGCATCCCTCACCATGGCCGCAGCGCTCTGCCTTTTCAGTTGAAATCGAGGAGTAGCGGATCGTTAGTAGCTGCAACAAATGGACTGGATGACAAGTCGGGGCCCTGTGAGCCATTGCCGTCTCGCATCACAGGAGGTCCGAAACTTAAACTCCCCCTCTCGGAGTGTCTGTCTCTCTCTCTCTCTCTCTCTCCGTGGCTCGCTCTGGCTCCCTCGCCCTGGAAGCGACATCCACACGAAGCCTAAATCTTAAAACCCCCCTAGACCCTAAAAAACCCTCTTGCTCTAAACCCGATAACCCCAGGCCCAAAGCCTGAACCCTGAACCCCTAAACCCTAAACCCTAAACTCTAAACCCCTAAACCCCTTTTTGCATCCAGGACTCTTGCCCCTAAACCCCTAAACCCCTAAACCCCTAAACCCCTAAACCCCTAAACCCCTAAACCCCTAAATCCCTAAACCCTAAACCCTAAACCCTTCAGAACCCAGGGCCTCCTGCGACGTCATCGCCCGGTAGGCGGCTGTGGGTGGCCGGAACTCTTGGGAGCCAGGAGGCCGAAAAGCGTACCTGGTGGAGCCTATGTCCCTGTCTCACATCCCCACGACTCCACCCCTAAACCCTAAGCCCTAAACGGCCCTAAACCCTAAACCCCTAAACCAGCAATGCGAGAGGGAAAAACAACCCTAAACCGTAATATAGATCCCTTACCGGAACCCTTATAGTACCCTTGAAACCCTAATTCAACCCCAAACCCCTAAACCGTCATATAGATCCCTGAAAGGAACCCTTACAGTACCCTTGAAACCCTAACCCTAAACCCTGAACCCTAAACCCTAAATGGTACGTACTGTGGTTTGGGTTTTATGGGACGAAGTCGATAAAACTGCCCGGGTTTCATCGTTACTGGCTTTTGAGTTTACATGGCCCTTTCTTATGAGGTTTTACAGGCAGAGACTTTAACAAAGCTACATCGCTTACGCCATCCACACGTTTGACTTTCAATTTTCAAGACGGAGAAACCAACCTCTGCATCACCATCCTACGCAGAATTTCTTTTACTCCCCGGTGTCTGCACTGAACAAATTTGACAAAGACATGAAACTGCTGGAGTAGATTCCCTATAAACCTTAAACCCTAAACCCTCTTACACAGGCTTGATGGAAGCTCGCCCGGCCAATGTCCCTCGTAGCACATCAAACCCTAAACCCTAAACTATTTCGGAAGCTACTTGGAGCACATCATGCTCTCCGTCTTCTCGGAGTAGCGCACTCGCGCCACGCCAGCCTCCTAGTTTGCAGCCGGGCTTAAAAAGCATGGTATGATGTTGGGGTTCAGGGTTTAGGGTTTAGGGTTTAGGGTTTAGGGTTTAGGGTTAGGGTCTGGTCTTGGGCATTGTTTTAAATTCATTCTGGTCTTCGCCTTCAGGTGCCTGTGACGGCGATTTAAGGTGTCCGGTCGGGTCCGTGCATTCGATGCAATCTGAGCTGCGGGCTCTGCACAATCAACGTCAGTGTAACAAGGAAGATATGCTGACAATATGACATGGTCGTGCATCCTTGTGCATGGACATGCTCTGTTAAGCTGCCCACGCCCGCCTCGCCCCCGCTGGTACACAGGGTCGTCTCCAGCCACTTCTTCTCCTGCCGGAGGTTTGGTGTCAAGCGTTCAGGAATTTGTTGCCTCCTGCACAGGGCAAGGTTTAGAGCTACTTGCCTCCTCTCGATTTGGGCCTTTAGAGCTGCAAGGTTTAAGTTTGAGATGCCTCGAGGGCGAACTTTAGTATTCAGTCTCGCACCACGTCTCTATACGGTCTGCCGAAGGTCAGGTTGGTAGTAGTTGGGTGAGTCTGGAGGCACGTTTGGAGGCGACCCTGCACAACAGAGCCGCCATCCCATGAAAACTGACTGCGAACTCCGAAAATGGCCACCATGGCCACCACAATGGTAGCATATAGCCCTAAACCCTGAATATGTGAAGACCCTGTTGGTAAGTAGTGCAAGTTGGCCTCCCCACCTGAGGTAGCAAAGTTCCGGAAACAGCCGTGCCCAAAGCAGGCTCGTGCGAAAACAGGAGCACGCCTTGTCTGAAGGGATAGGAATTCACAGGCGTTCAAGGCATCGAGCTGGTTTCCAAGAGGTAGCAAGCCTACTAAACATGCACACTGCGAGTCTGAAACGACCCAATACACGTCTTTGGGAGCTGTGCGTTCAGAATCCGGAGGATGTGCGACGCTGCTTCTCGTGGGTCTTTGAACAGGAATCAAAACTCCATACTGATGATGACGATCTTAATGAAGGAGATGACCACGATGATGATAATGATGGTGGTGGTGGCGGTGGTGAAGGTGATGATGGTGAAAATGGTGGCAGCCGGTATATTCGTCACCATCCACATCAAGCCCATCAACATCATCACCACCATGACCGATAAGCAGCATGAGAAGGCGTGTTACCTTAGCTTCCGCATTCTGCGGAAGCTTCGCCACCCCGCTCCGTGGAATTTGGGCTACATTGAATAGAACGACTATATGATAGAAGGCTGGGCGGAGGAAACCGTCGCGCTGTGCTTCGTTCCCGGCCGTCAACGTCAGGTGAAGTAAAGCCGTAGTTGTCAGGGTTCTCATCCTACCTGAAGTAAGAACCTGGCAGAAAATACTAACCGTGACTGGTCTTTGCGAGCCAGGTCGGACAAAGGGGGGCACGGAGACTGATGCAACCGTGACTGTAGGGTTCGGGAATGTGGAGAACTTCGAATACAACACGAATAACTTGCAATGCTGACGACATTTATGACACAATCTACCGGCAGTGGATCAAACAAGCGAGAGGTGAACCTAAGCGAGCCGCCCAAACTTCCCGGTCTGCGGCCTACTTTGACGATGCGTTGCTACATTTACGCAGATTATGCGCGGCGCAGCACGTACCTTTCGAGGCCCCGTGAAAGAAGGTCACGAGATATGCACGCGGCAAGGCCTTGAGCCACTTCGCTGGGTTCGGACTTAGAGTGATAGATGTGCCAACAACTCGACTCTTGCTTCATCTTCCGATCATCTTCCACATTTCTGGGGGTCTGGCCGCGCTGGTCGGTCTCGATCCTGACTCAAAGACGGAGGCTGTCGATTGTGAAAAGAGTTCCGGGGAGCCTCGGCACTGAGATCTCCAGGCAACTTCCGAAAAATTCCTAGCTTAGGTGTAGGGGTTTAGGGGTTTAGGGTTTAGGGTTTAGGGTTTAGGGTTGAGGGTTTAGGGTTGAGGGCTTAGGGGGTTCATTGCCTCGCCATTGATTGCCTAACCAAACAATGAGCCCTGAATCCTGCGAGGCACTTGCAACCCAAACTTCCCAACACCCGCAGAAGTAGCAGCTCAAACCCAAAGTCGGCCCCAAGTTACAGGTTCACGGGGAGAAGTTTCAAGAAACTGCACTGAACACGAAGGCTCCGACACGAATCTCCTAAAAAGCCAGAGACTCACCCAATGCATCGCGCCTGAAATCACCTTCGACATGGGCAAGATATCGCCAAGTGCCCACATGCCGCCGCGCCACCTTTGGGGAGCTTCCCCTATAGTACCTATAGTATACTATAGTATACGATGATAGACTATAACTTATAACTACTATAATATACTATAGCACACTATAGCAGGTGCCAGTATACGATCTAGTTTCCTCACACCTCCGTGCAGGCAATCATCGCCACAGCGGGCCTGGACTACTTGGCGGCCTGTCTTGTTGAAAGCCCCATAAGGGGGTTTCCGGAAATAGGGGACACCAATATAGCACCGTAAATAATAGGATCTTTATTATAAGGACCCCAAAAAAATGTACCCCTAATTTTCGGAAACTCCCACAACTCTAGAGCCCTGCTTGATCCAAACAGTGACAAGTCTCCTACATCTTAAAGCCCTAAGCCCTCTTACCATGATGGTGCAGATCCCAAGCAGTGATAAAGCACCAACACAATCATGACGGTTGCGACCGACCACGACAGCCACGACGACTACGACGACGACCAAGACTACCACGGCGACGACCACCAGGACTACCACGACGACCACTTCGACACTACAACGATGACCCGGACGACCACGACGACCCAGTAGACCACGACAAGACCACAACAAAGAACGAGGAGAATAACAGGAGACCACCAAGAAACCCCACACAACCTCCCAAAGACCAAGGAGACCAACCAGGAGACCACCACCACCATTACCAACTGGACACCACCTGGAAACCAGGGCCAAAGGACTTCCGCGAAATACTGGCGGATCCGGGACCACGCCCGGAATGCTTTCCCCGGGTTTAGGGTTTAGGGTTTAGGGTCACTGATTTCCCAAAGTACTGGCGCACGGCCAAATCACGTTCCCAAAAGCACTGGCGGGATTCATATAGGCCCAAAGTAAGAATGGGAATAAAGCGTCTTTCAAGCCCTGAAGACTCGATAAAGCCCTATAATCTAGTTGGTACCACAACACACTGAACCCCCCCACCCCCCCCCCCACCCCCCGACCCTCCAAGGAAACGCCAACCCTTTAAACCCCCACTCGCCTCCTTGCTGGGCCTCCAAAGTGCCTCAGAGGATCCCAGGCAGGCCCCAAAAGCAGTGTAGGATCTACGGAGTCCGGAATTTGGGAGCCCGAGGGTGTAGGATTCTAGGGTTCATGGGTTTAGGGTTTAGGGTTTAGGGTTTAGGGTTCAGGGCTTATTTGTTTTTCTGAAGAGTTCAAGGTAATGAGGCATCGACAGTGCCAGGATGCACAAATCCAGGGGCTTGGTCGGAGCTTCAGGGGCCGAGGTCCGAGGCTTTAGACTAGGGTTTAGGGTTTAGGGGTGCAGGATTTAGGGTGGGCATGCCCAGCTGATAGCAAAGAGCCTGGGTTGGGCTTAGGGTTGAGGGTAGAATACTTAAGTTTGGGGCGTAGGCGTGCGTTTCATGCCTTCGGCTTTTTTGGCATATTCCTCCCCTACTGGCCTTCCGGGTGCATGAAAACAGAGTATGAAACTACTGTAACTATATGCAATAGAAGATAAAAATACCAAAAGCAGTCGGGGAAGAACATGTGGCCGTGATGCTGAGTTTAGGGTTTAAGGAATATTTAGGGTCCAGGGTTAGGGCTTAGGGACTTCAGGGTTGTTTGAACCCAACAGTCCAAGTCTATTCGGTCGCAGATCTCCAACACTTTAAGGACTTTAAGCCTCTAGACTCTAGACCCGAACTGCCCTGAAAAGACTCGCACCCGGCGGTTTGCATCGTGCACCGCGATTTCAGTTCCGGACCTTCTGTGCCGAAGCATTACCTCGCAACATGGGGCGAAGACTTCCCAGCCAACGCAAAAAGCCTGTCAACTATTGCCAGGATTGTGTAACACCGAAAAGTTAGGATTAGGCTGGTACAGTTTTCGCGGTCAAGGCATAAATTGGCTTGGGGATGCACCCAGTGTGTGTTCCGGCAAAGTGGTGTCTAACATTATCTTCCAGCTGTACCTGTCCATCTGTCCATCTCTCTGTCTCTCTATCTGTCTGTCTGTCCATCTGTCTACCTGTTTATCCGTCTATCTGCCTATCCATCTGTTCACCTATCTATCTATCCACGGATCCATGCATCCATGGGTCCATCTATCCGTCCATCCATCCATCTATCTACCTACCTATCTAACCTGTGTAACTATCTAAATTATCTATCTGTCCAGCTAGCTGGCTACATTCCGGTGATGCACAGAACGTTGTTCTTCTGCGCATCTGTGCATGCGTTGACACGTAGGCAGATGAGCCGACCGTTGATCTTGGAGGATACACTACTAATTAGTTGTCTGTCTCTGTCTATCTCTGTCTGTCCGTGTGTCTGCCTTTGTCTGTGTCTGTCTGGGTCTCCGTCCGTCCGTCTATTTATCTATCCGCCTATCTGACAAATGGGAAATACCTGCCCATGTTCTCCTGTACACATAATATGTGTGGCGTGTGCCAGTGTGCGTGAGAATGCACTTCATACTACATCCAGGGGGGGCCATAGTCAGTGGCCCTAGTGCACAAAAGTAGGCTCGAACTTGTTTCTTGTTGGGTCTCTCTACACCGATGCATTCTGCTCCGAGGACTTAAGTCCATTGAACCTTCAATTAAGCCTATCGAACTCTAACCCCCAAAGCACCATCCCGAAACCGAGCCCTGAAAGATCTTGAACTTGTTGGTGTCTTCGGGGTGCCGGTTCTCTAAAGGGGTAATTCTCTAAATTAGGGTCCCTTTTTGGGGTACCCCAATTTTGTACGGCACCCTTAAAAAAAGCACCCCCCAAAAAGGACCCTATTTTAGAAAACTATCCAAACCCTAAACCCTAAACCCTAAACCCTAAACCCTAAACCCGAAAGCCTAAACCGTTGAACCTCTTCCGTCTCACATCCCACCTCTGGCTGCAGGGACGAGATCAAGGCGAGCTGGCGGCCTTCAGCGCTGCTCTGATTTCTTGGGGTTACCTCTAGTCTCCATTGTAGTTCCTTTTGGGGGATGCCTTATAAAATCCTTAGTATGTTATTGGTTAAACCAAAAAAGGAACTACAATGGAGACTACAGGTAAGGGTTTAGGGTTTGGGGTCGCAATTCGGACACGTGGCGCTGCCACGGGTTGGGGCTTAAGGTTTCGGGTTTCGGGGTCAGGAGTCTGCATTACTCATCAAAGAGGCCGCTCTCACCGAAAGCAGGGCCGCTTCGTCTCCAATGCAACGGGGCCCTTCCGGTCCATGTACTACCCTACTTGCATGCATGTTGCACGCTGTGCTCTTGGCAACCCTGAATCGTGAGCCATGTTTTCATTCTCGCCGCCATGTCCGCGCAACTTCGCCTAAGACCAAAGGCAGCTGCTGCGTTGCGAGTGTGGCATGGTTGTAGCACAGCCTCAGTCTTCATCGCAACCAGCTGCGGTGCGGGGTTCCGGGCGGGTTTCTTGGTTTAGGGCCTTTCTAGGCATTCAGGCTGCTGCCGTGTGTTTTCGCGCCTGGGTTCAGGAAATCTCGAGAACCGATTGCTCCGTCGAGCCAAGGAAAGGGGGCGAGAGCCAGACCCGCAGCCTCCGCACTGACCAAGCTAAGGTGAGGACGTGGACTCGTGGACTTTATCTTAACTGAATCTAAACCCTACACGTCAGACTCTTCCTGGCTACAGCCCTGCTGCATGCCCCCCGTTTATAGTCCAAGGTCTCCTGGAAGGGCTAGCTTGGAATCGCCCAACTCTGTTCTGTGCTCCCTAGAGCTTCTGGAACAGGGATTTACATGATTTGATCAAGTAAGCAGACACTAAATGTCGACAACACCGAACCCCGAATCCTTAACCCTAAACCCTCTCCCTCGCTCACTGGCAGCCTAAACCCTCAACCCCGAATCCGAAGTCCGAGGCCCTCCAGCCCTTCGTCAATGAAGTGCCGGCAGACGAATCGAAGAGTCGCACGCACACGTGGGCATCCTGCGGTGTCTCAGATACCGACAGTACTAAGGGGCTATAGGGTTTAGGGTAACTGCAAGGGGTTTAGTTAAAGCCTGGAGGCCAATATCCCAATGAGTCCCCAGATCCGACATTTGCACGGAAGTTCCTGGGGCTTCATTTCAGCTTCTTGGACTCTAGACTTGTCGTGTCCAAGACCCATGCCTTGGAGCGCATTGTGGTTCCGGCGGTGGTTTCCGGGCTCGGCTGTGGGAACGAGGTTGAAGACTGTTTGAAGGTTTGGGCTGTCATCCTACTTGTAAGAGACGTAAGCCGCACAAGTCCAAGGCCGACTAGGACGACCTTTCCGAAATCTCAATTTCCTTCTCGCTGCAAGAATCAACCAAGTTCTGTTTTATGAGAGGTCTCTTGCAAGGCAACTAGGTAACACCAACGGACCTACAGCTGCGGGTCTATGTAGCTCTGGCTTCGGGAACCCCCACTTCCCCCCCCCCCCTCCCACAGCCTGAGCAGCGTACTCGAGTTGCTCTGGCTCCAAGGGGCGTGCTTGCCAATCGGAGACCTGTTTGTTCGCTGGGCATGTACACAGCTGCGAATATTCAGCTCTTGGGCGGATGGTAGCAATGGCAGCCGTAAATCAAGCCAGGTTGCAATTCAGCAATACTTTATTAATCGTACTCCTGCAGAGCCGGTACTGCCGCGCCCAAGCCCGTTGTTTTATTACTTGTGGATGCTCAAGCACATCCTAGCTAGAACCCTAATGCCTGAGTCCGACGGCAGACTGTGTAGTGAGCATAAGCGGGGAAAGCTTAAGGGACACTTAACTTCCCCTCCGCCACCTGGCAGCATCTGGCAGCTAAGGGTCCAAAAAGCGCTGCTAAGACTTAAGGGTTCAGGCTTTGAGGGTCCTGGGTTTCGACTCCCACGGCTCGCAGAAGGCAGGCAAGGATCCGCCAAGTCGGGGGTACACACGCGGCCGAATCGGCCCAGATGCTTCTGGGCTTAGGCTTAAGACAACGACAAGAAAACCTCAAAGCCGGCAAGCCAAAAGCCAAAAGACCTCCAACGCCCAACATCTGGTCCCTGTGAAACCCACACCTGAACCCCGGCTTAAGCTTCAAGACCCCTAAATCCTAAACATCCCTAGCCCATCTACACACGAGCTTGGCAAGGAACTTGATTTAAGTGGCCAGGATCGGGTATAGATAAACAGCTTGGCTTCTTGTGGCAACTTACACCAAGCTCGATAACCAGAACCAGAACCCCTGGAAAAACACCTCCGCTTTGGAGCAAGCCTGCCAGGTCTTGTCCAAGCCCCGGCCAAAGACGGTGCGTGTGAGGCTCGACAGCCTGGGGCTATGGGGAAAAGGCCTAGGCGCTTGTTTAATGCATCGCTTGGTGGGCTTAGATTTCAGGGTGCAGGTTTTGGGGCTAGGGCATGCCTAGTTGCACTTCTTCATGTTTTGGGCAAGCTTTCCCCCCCAAGCAGTGTGGTTCAAACTGCTCCTGAATCGCGACAGTCAGAACCAGTACTTAAGTGAGGGATGTTGGCCGTGCTCCCGAATCGCGGCAGCACTGTAGGGAAGCATTGTGGCCATGATATTGAATCACGACAGTACTTGTAGGAAACGTGGTGGTGATGGTCGTGGTGGTTCTGGTGGTTGTGGTCAACCTGGTCGTCGTCGTCGTGGGTTCCGTGGTCGTCGTGGACATCCTGTTCGTCAAGGTGCCCTAGCTCAGGTTGGTGGGTTTCGGCCTGTTTCAAATTTCGGCCTGCTTGCCTCGCGTGGGCAAGGAGGAAGTGGAAAGGAAGGAGTTACATTTATGCTTAATTACTAAGCCTACACAAACCTCATGGACACAAACCTAAATCCTGGAGATGAATACCACTTACGCCTTAGGACCCCTCTAAGTGTGGGGTTCAGGATGTCAGGATTCAGGGGCGGCTGCGCGAGCCCCAAGGCAAGCAAGCAAGAGTCCTGAAACAACCGTCTAAACGGTCAGTATGTACAGGTGAAAATATCAACACTCATTGCATTACAACGGAGCATGAAGCTCCAAGCCCGAGGCTATTGAACGTTGAGCTTGACATACATTGGATACGAAAGTGATGTGCGGAAATATCGCAACAGGTGTGCGCCGCAGACTCACGGGCATAAACAATAAAAGTAGATATTCCTCATCCGACAAGGAAGGCACCAGTTGTCGCTCAACAGGCGGAATACTGGCCAACCAAGTTCGCCTCCAATCTTCAAACAGAGGGCAATATCGTGAAGCATGTAGGAAGGTTTGTTCGCGAGCCCCACATAAGCACGGCTGCATCACGTGAGAAGCATGTCGAGAACTCCTCCCATCAGCAAAGGGATGATGACCCCATTTCGCCAACGTCCACTCCCTCACCACAGATGGGCGTAAACGAGACCCATGCACGAAAGAACAGAACTCTTGGCGCACATGGCATTCTCGACTGTACCACAGTGACGGCACTGCCGCACATTCCTCGCAGAATAGCTTCCAAGAATTGCGACACAGAGCTGGATTTACATAACTGCGCTTCCATCTATGGACAGTTTTTGGGTCACCTCCAGGCCCAATACCGCACGAAGCAGGATGGGGAATACCCAAACGTGACATGTCACTCGCAACTTGACACGCCCAAGAATCACCATGGGTAGCCGCAAACTGAAAAACACGGGCCGCCAGACTCCGATGGACGCCACGAGCAGAGGCGACAGACAGCCGTCCAAATAGACCAAATTGTGCACGCTGAACTTCAACAAGAAGCGGATGCCACCCCAGCTCGCCCAGAACAGCAGCACCAGGGGCACCAGATGGCCACAGCAGCAAACGTCCACCAAATTGACGTAGCTTCCTATCCAACTTCTTGAGGGAGGACGGGTCAAGGAAGTGCGAGCCATACAACATAGATGGCAGAACATATGACTGAAACAGACTTCGCCGAAAGGCCGTATGCAGCTGACGATTCTCAGCCCAAGATACAGATTGATGAAACTTGCCAGCGCATCTTTCAAGAAGGCGATCGCAATGCTTGCTCCATTTCCTGGATGACTGGAAAATAACACCCAAATAACCATATTCAGACACGCAAGGCACAGAATGGCCTGGCAATGTGAAATGATGGTCGCGAGACCGTGAGCCAACCACAAGCACAGCAGTTCTGTCAGGCCCAATTCCAAAGGAAAACCTCCATTGACGCCCCCAGGCACCAATCTCGTCCAAAGCTCGCTGGAGGTCTCTACGATTCTCAGCCAAAATGACCAAGTCGTCGGCGTACCGTAATAACGTCACCCTTGGAGCAGTCGGCCCACTTCCCAAGGACACACCGGGGCAGGCTGAGCGAACACACCCAGAGATGCTGTCAAAGAGAATCGTGAACAGCAGAGGGCCTAAAACACTGCCTTGACGAACTCCAGCACTTTCAAACCATGGTTCAGACAAACAGCCATTAATCGATGCCTGAGCCGACGTCTGAGTGAGCAGATCATCCAAGATCTTCCACATGGCACCTGTAATACCCGCTTGTGCCAACTGGACCAGCACGGCATCTCGCCAAGCAACATCAAAAGCTTTGCGCACATCGACAAAAGCACAGAATGTTCGCTTTCGTGCTCTCAACCGCAGCGTCTCGGCAAGGGTGTAAATATGCTCTTCAGTGCCCCACCGAAAGCCAGCCTGACTTGCATCTATTTGAGGGCTGACGTGAGGAAGCAACCTCTAACCTACAACGCTCGTTTACCGCAGGCTTTATCCAACGCCCGGAATCCCGATCTCCACTCAAACTAAGCCCCGTGTGCACTCTGCACTATGCACTGTACAACATTTGCCTTATACACCATACACTATATACTATATACCATACAATACAGACTATATACCATATATTATAGGTTCTTGAACTTTCTACTAGCTACCAATCTGCCGTCTACCATCTACTATCCACTATATAGTCTCGTCCTTCTTCTAAGATTCTAAGATCAATGCAAATCCAAGGGGCCCGAGCGCAGGAGGCAGGTCGGGTAGCGCCTCACGCGCCAAGTCCCTGCTTGAGAGCACAAGTTCAGCTGTGGCAAGGTTTAGGAGTTTTTGTGTTTAGGGCTTTTGGGGTTTCTTTAAGTGTAGGGTTTAGGGGTGTAGGGTTTCGACTCTTGCAACTCGCACAAGGCATCACGACAACTGGTCCAGAGGCTTCAGACTACACGCAGGAGAGCAGAGACACACGAGACACAGACCAAAATCCAACCAACCAGTAGCAAGGTACCTTCGCTGTACTTCGCTGTTCCACTCTCGCTTTAGGGTGTAGCGTTTAAGCCTTACAGCAGGGTTTGGATCAAGGGGTCGCTAGAGCTTTGTCTGGTGAACATGTTGCGACATTGGACTCGGTGGCTGAAGTCTGAATTGCAGAAGCTTTCGTGATTCCTGCCTGCAGGAGCAACTTAATCAGCATGGTATATCACGGTATATCTTGTTAGTATTACACTGGCTTTGCCAACATTGGCAAAACCACTTGGATGCAGAGGACTGTGTTGAATGAGTTGAGTCTTGCTGTTATTCTTAATTTCTGCTAGATGTAGATGCTCGTAAGTATGTGCTTGTGTGGGCTTTTCGCCTGAGATCGATGATGTTTCGGACATCCTCGGGCATCGCTGTGGGCAGCGTCGACGCCAGCCGCTGCAGATCCACATCCAATCCGAAGCCAACCTCCAGGCTCGGAGGTACTGGGTTATGAGATTCTACAGGCTTATATACTCAAGGCTACAGAGACGGGTTACTGCACAAGTAAGGGAATCCATAGAAGCCTACGCGCTTAGCAAGGCTTAAAGTGCGCCTTTGGAAGGAGCTCTAGATCGCCCCAAAACCATCTAGAACCCATAAAGACCTCATTTGGGGTCCTTTTTATTAGGGTTTAGGGTCTATAGGGGCTCATGAATCAGTACAAAGCCATGAAATACAAAAACAGACGATTTTTGACGGGGTTTCGATTCGGCCCCCCACGCGCCTTGTAGAGATGCTCAGCTCCCAGAGCTGTTCGAAGAATCCTGGCTCGGCGTCCAGATGGGAGTTTCCGAAAATTAGGGGTACCTATTCTGGGGTCCTTATAATAAGGATCCTACTATTTATGGTGCTATACTAGGGTCCCCTATTTTTGGAAACCTCCAAATTCATGGATCAAGAAGCCTAAATAGTTACCAATGCTATTTTTGGGGGTTCCTTCTTGTAACTATAGTATAGTGGGCCCCAAAACCCTATTCTAATTATTAAAGCCTCTATCTTAGGCTTTGGAGAAGTGTGCCCTCCTCCTCGTCCTCCTCAGGCCTCTGCCTAATGCTGCTACTGCTCCTACTGAAAACACTACTTCGTTCACATTACTTCTCAGCAGAGGTGAACACGCGTATGCACAGTGCAATGGCTACGATCACCACTTCCAGGACGACGACGAGCACCACCATCATCACCACCAGCTGCAAACACTAATACAACGAACGGGTGCAAAACGACGACAACGACCCTCGAGCAGCCTGAAGCCATGAAATCCTATAAATACAACCCTCCGGCTCTGCCCCTGAAGAACTCAAGCTTTCCACATCCTGAACTCCTCTAGGCCCCCCATATCGGTGACCCGAAACTCCAGTGAAAGCACCACTGCCCGGATCCTGGCCAGGCTTGTCCACAACTCCTCGTCATCTTGCCTCGGTTCGGTTCAGCTACTGTCTTCGGAACTTAAGCTTTCGATTTAAGGCTTGGGCCCCGGTGCTAGGGCTTGGCTCTGAATGTTGCGTGGCATGCAGCACAGTCGGGCTTCATGGGGGCAAGAGATCTTAGAAGGCTTGGACCGGGGCCAAACCCTGAAATGCTGAATCCAAAACCCGAAATGTGAAGCCCAACCCCTGAGTCCAAACACTGAACCAATTTCGCCTTCTCCACCTGAAGGTCCGTTCGCGCCTGCTGGACACAAATGATTTCTATGCCGGAGGTCGGTCCAAATTCCCAGAGGCTCCAACATGACGTAATCAACCAGTATTCCCGATATCAGTGCAGGGAGCCTCGAGCAGGGATCCTCAATCACTTGAGGGGATCTTGGAGTCACCGGTCTAGAGCCGGGCTGTACTCGAGGAAGAGAGAGAGAGAGAGAGAGAGAGATCCGTTTAGGGTTTAGGGTTTCAGCACTCACAACTGGGACAAGCCTGGCGAGGTTCCAAGTACGACGACGACAGCACATTGGCCAAGGGCTGGCACGTTCACCACATCCCAAAACTCCACTCACACTCTAATTAAATCCCAACACATCAAGGCCATCACACGATCTCCATCAACCATGTCAATCTACCTGGGAGCCACCAGCACGAAGCACTCCGCTCATCATCTCTCCGTTCACTGGAACATGCGCACGCGTCATCACTCATGACGCATGGCGTGTCCCAGCACATACCACACAAACGGGGCCATATTCCTGAGTCCAACATGATATGACAGACGCCATTGGCCATACAAATAGTGGTCACCGATGTACTCCCATCAGCAGAACATGCGTGATGTGCCCAGCTACTACGCATTCAGAAAAACCACTGCCAGTAACCAAGCGTCTTGCAGCTCATGCAATAAATTCTTCAAAACATGCAGACTCTGTCATGTCCCATCTGCCAGACTGTGCTAAATTCCCACTTCTCCACGTTCTTCATGCAGCGAATTCCCATCCACGCATATGCTCATGCAGACATAGTGCTTGCGCCATGCAGAGCCCATCTGTCGTGCAGAAATCCTCATACAAGAAACGTCTCTATCGCCTTGTGCAGAAGGCCCCGACAATGCTTTCAGATCTGAGAAAGTGCTTTTGCGCATTGGAAGGCTTCCGGGAAGTTCACCCCAGTCAGTAGTTTTGCTTGCCGTCCCAGGGTGTTCGAGCGATGTCGCATCTTCTCCCAGCCTCAACGTCGGCGCCTTTTGCAGAAGGCCCGCGATCAGTTAGCAGGTATGAGTATTTCGAGGGCTCGCCAGTCCCTCCATCCAGAGCTCCAGAGTGTTGGTGCATCACGTCGACGTTCAGACACCATCACCCCTATTCCATGTCAGCGCCTTTTGCAGAAGGTCCCCAGCACGCTCTCGTGTTCCACCGAGCGTGTTGGAATGTCGCCATGGCGCGCCGGGCCAGTCCACCATCGTTCACAAACCCAGCTTTGCATGAGGCTTCGTGCCCCCGTTCCGTCGGTGCAGAAGAAGCATCTCAGGGAACCAGTTGCTGTCACAAAAACGAAACTTGTTCCATGGCGCTGGCTTCCGCGGGTTAGTGGTTTCTATAACCCGGGGAATCGGGAGTGCGGGCTTCCTATCAGAGGCGAGACGACGGCACGACATTTT